TTGGCAGTTCACGGAGCATGTACAGATTCTGAGGTGTACTGCAAAATCACTTGCCAAAAAAAGGGCTGTTTAAAATTTTGTCCCACCAACAGCATCTAAGAATGCCTGTTTTCCCTACCCAAACTGGATATTGCCTATTTTTAAACCTTTGGCCGTGATGTTGGGCAAGTAGTATTCTAATATGCATTTCTGGATTATTCCTATGAGTTCCTGATCATTCTTTATCTTGAATCACATTTCTTTTTTTTTTTTTTTTTAATTTTTTTTTTTTAACGTTTTATTTATTTTTGAGACAGAGACAGAGCATGAACGGGGGAGGGGCAGAGAGAGAGGGAGACACAGAATCGGAAGCAGGCTCCAGGCTCTGAGCCATCAGCCCAGAGCCTGACATGGGGCTCGAACTCACGGACCGTGAGATCGTGACCTGAGCTGAAGTCGGCCGCTTAACCGACTGAGCCACCCAGGCGCCCCTCTTTTTTTTTAAGTTCATTTTTTTTTTTTTTAGTAATCTCTCTATCCAACATGGGGCTTGAACCCGCAACCCTGAGATCAAGAGTCGCACACTCCAACAACTGATCCAGCCAGGCACCCCTCACTTATTTTTCTAAATGGACTGGCTTTATAATTTTTTTTAACTCTGTAATTTACTCATTCACATTCTCATCCATTTTCACTTCATTTCTTAAGTGAAATCTGATCTCTTAAGTGAGATCTGTTCATAATCTGGATTTTTGTACGTGTGCGTGTAGTGTGAACCAGGAAACGATTTTCTTTTATTTCCGAAAGGAGAGCTAACTTTCTAACCTCTTTTACCTCATTCCTCCTTCTCCCACTCATTTCTGATGCCAGCTTTATAGTCATAAACAGAAACTTCTAGTTGGATGAGTCTTTTTTTGAACTTCTCTTTTGGTTAATCTTTTGATCTATTTATGAAACAATACTACTTCATAAATCACTGTGACGTGCTCTTTTGTCTGCTGGGATCCGGCGCGTCCTCCTCACCGCATGTTTACTCAGTGTTCCAGAAGTCCTTGAAAGTCGGCTGGTCAGGTCCCACCCAAAGTATTGTTAGGATTTTGACTGGGATTGTGATGTTAAATTTAGAGATTAATTTCAGAAGAATGGGCTTTATGTTATTGGAATTTTCAAAATAAGTCTAAAATTAAGTTAATCTATAGTAACACATACACGGTTCCTTTCCTACTTCAAAAACTTCCATAACCTTTCTCCCAGGAATCCGTAGTGTCTCGGGCCAACAGAATACTTAGTGTTTTGGTAGATTTTTTTTTAAGATTTTTTTTTTTAATGTTTATTTATTTTTGAGAGAGTGGTGAGAGAGAGCATGCATGCACAAGTCAGGGAGGGGCAGAGAGAGAGAGGGAGAGAGAGAATCCCAAGCAGGCTCCACACTGTCAGCACAGAGCTCAGTGTGGGGCTTGATCTCACAACCGTGAGATCATGACCTGTGCCAAAAGCAAGAGCCAGACGCTTAACCGACTGAGCCACCCAGATGCCCCTATTATTATTCATGGTTCTATGTGTTGGCTAGATTCGGCGGGACAATTTTTGCTTGAGTTCTTACGTGGTTGCTATTAACTGTTGGCTGGAACTGCAGTCGTTTGAAAGCTTAACTACTTGACATCCAAGGTGGTTTCCTTCCACGGCTGGCGGTTGATGTTGGCTGTGGGCCGGGAGATCAGCAGGGATTGTTACTTCTCCACGCGGGTGCCATCTGCTCACACGGGTGGTGGGGCTCAGAGTGCTAAGGACAAGCATTTGAGATGGAGAACGCTGCAAGACTTCTTCTGACCGGGCCTTGAAGTTTCAGGAAGTCATTTCCATTATGTTCTATTTGGTAAACCAAGTTATTAAGTCCAGCCCGGATTCTAGGGGAAGAGAATTCTATTCCAGCTCATGTTCAGAGCTGCATGTGCAGAAGAGTTTTTACTGGGGGCAGCGACCTGTACTCTGGCCTGCGCAGTTTACAGTGCATCCTGCATGAACAGTATTCTCACTTCCTCTCAAGACCCCCAGAGTGTCACCTCCTTACGGCATCTGGCGTGACCCCTCCATCTCGTCGTCTAAGTCAGGTCTGCTATGGATGAGGCTTCTTCAGTGTGGTTCCTCAAGGACAGCTCTTGGCCATGTGAGGACCAGTGCGCTAATGGGGCCGGTTTTTGCCCCCCTCCCCCCAGTACCCAGTATATAGTGGTGAACAGTGATAGGATACTTGTAGTAGACCCTTCTGTTAAAAAAAAAAGGAGAAGAATGCAAGTCGCTTAGCAATCTCTGGTCCATAGTAACTGTGGGATCCAGATGGACACCTGTTACCTGTGCCTTGAGTGGTGCCCCCATCTAGTCCCTGTGAGTTGGTCTCAGTGGCTCTTTATCCACATCCTGAGCTGTCCTTCCTTTTTATACAAGAGGTAGCCAGATTTTGCCGTTGAATAACTTTCTCAGCCCACTACCTACCAGTAGATAACTGGGGACGTGAAAATCTCTTCGTTTTGAACTGTTTCTCCCTTGGAGTCCAGTCTTGTGTAACTCTCTTGAAAACTGATGCGGGCTTCCTGTGTGTCCAGCTAGAAAGCTCCTGCATTTGACCGAAGCCACACCCACAGACCTCTTTCAGACAGTCTCCCTTTTCTTTGCTCTGAAAGTGCTGTGGGACAGCACCCTCCAGGTTCTTGTCTAGCCGAGTGTCTAAGAGGCATAACCTTGAGATTCGTGGCAACTGCTGTTTTTTTCTGAGAGGTTCTCTAAAGGTGTGCCCTTAACATCTCCCTGAGGTGCCATGTGGAACAGTACCTCTTGACTCATCTTCACTGTGATTGCTTGAAGAATATTTTGTGACCGGAAAGATTGTCCTGAGCTCTTTCTTTTTTTTTCTCTCTCTCTCTAAAGTCTGCTAAACACCTGAACACTTCTCTTTTTTAGTTCATTGCTCTGTATCCATACTTTGTCGTATGCGCCTAAAAGGAACCCGTTAGCGCTTCTGGAAGGTATGTTTTCTATTTTCCACATCAGAGTGAGCAGCAGTGTTTCTGTAGCTTCCAATTACAATTTCCTGACTGCTCTACATGTTCACTAGCAATTCCCTTCAGGCCTTTACTGCTTGCACCTGCCACGCCATCCCAAAGCCCGTCCTGTGTGCTCCAGGTTTTTATTATGGTAGCACCCCGTTTTCACTTACCGATTTCTCTTCTGATTATACCACTCTACCAAACTGCAGTGGCCTCAAACAAGTAGGTATGTTATTTTGCTAATGACATTGTGGGTCAGGAATTCTGGAAAGGTTCAACGGGATAGATCGTCTCTTTTTGATAGGGCATCCGCGTCGTCACCCACACATCTCACAACGTGGTGTCTGTCTCACTCTGTCTCCTACGTGGTGTCTCATCCTCCAGAACTTCTGCATGTGGTGATCTCCCCATAGTCACCCTTCTTTCCTGACCACCAGCTTCCAAAAGGCAAGAAGTAGAAAGTGCCAGGCCAATTGCGGGCTGTCCTCGGAACTAGCACAGTGTTACTGCCGTAATCTACTGGTCAGAGGAGTTGAAGGCCAACCGGGTTCAAAGTGGGTAGAGAAGTAGACTCTTGTTCTTAACGGGGGGAGGGGCAAAAGGTCAGGTTGTAGAAGACCATATGAAATGAGAGATATTGTAGCCAGATGTCAATCAACCACATGATTTTTAGAAATTGTGATTTGTGGACTCTGTGTGCATGAGTATGTGTGTGTGCTATTTTGTCAGTTACAGCTATTGGGAGTATATTAGCTTTGTAAAACATTTCAATTAGCAAGCTATCCTCCTTCCCCCCCCCCCCCCACCTCAGGAATAATTCAAATAGATCAAATTACCTATATGTCTAAAGTTTAAAAGATCTCTTTCATAAAACTACCTAAATTGCCTACACAAGAAACTTAAGATTTTAAGTTAACCAAATATATTGTTTTTTACCCTATCGGTTCCTTCTGTATTATCAATGTTTTAGAAAGTATGTCCCCAATTTGAGAACATTTGAATATATATCCACATTTCCTGTGTGTTTTGGTTTTAATGTTGTGCAGTAATTCTTTTTTTTTTAATTTTTAAATGTTTATTTATTTTTGAGAGAGAGAGTGAGTTCAAGTGGGGTAGGGGAGACACAGACTCTGAAACAGGCTCCAGGCCCTGAGCTGTCAGCACAGAGCCCAGTTTGGGGCTCAAGCCCATGGACCACGAAATCATGACCAGAGCTGAAGTTGGACGCTTAACCAACTGAGCCACTCAGGCGCCCCTTAATGTCCTACAGTAATTCTTTAGTTCATCTGGAATTATCTAATTCTTTAGTTCATCTGGAATTATCTTGTTAACTATTTAGATGACAATCCGGCCCTGCTAATTTGCATTGCAGCCTTTATCTATGCAATGTTAAGTGTTCTAGAATCTGTTTCTGGTCTCTTCTATTGATATGTAAATTATTTTCCATACTGTGTGTTTAAATATTGTAACTGTCCCAAGCACCTTGAGATGTGAAAATCACTAAATGTTCATGCTTGTAATATGTGAGTAAATGCTACCTGATCCACACTAAAGATGTATGATTTTAAACTGTTGAGAACAAGAATTTATTTAATGTATGATCTAGCCACACATTTTTGTGCCAAATTGTGTTTGCTAAAAAGGAAGAATAAATAGAAAAATTACCAATACTCACAGTTTTATACTTGTGAACATGACTTTCAAATCTGTCATTTGGGTTATGGAGGTCTTTCAGAAGGAAAAAAATAATGAAAGCATTGATTAAATGGATTTACCATTGAAGGTGGTATGAAAGTCAAGTAAACTAGCTACTAGTAAAGAGTTTTTACAATTTATTGAAGAAAGCTATTTGTGGAGTAGATCTAGAAATATTTAATTTTTGAACCATATCATATGGTTAATACAGTATTTTAAAATGTATTCTCTAATAAAATGAATCTTTTATTTTCACTAATCTAGTTTGTTTCTGTTTTCCAGATATTGTTTTGTGTTTGCTTTGGGATACCTCACAGTGTGCCAAATTACTAGAGTCTATATCTTTGATTATGGACAATATTCTGCTGATTTTTCAGGGTAAGAGTAAAACTTTGATTCAGTAGCCTGTTTTATCTACTGTCACGTTGGTGGAAGGACAGCCTATGGTTGCATTTAGTAGTTCTAATGAAAAGCTATTGACAAACGTTTTTGTTGAAAATTCCTCTATGAGCTGAGATGTTTTCTTCATGTAAAGTGGCCTTTTGTAGTGCTTATAAGTCACAAAAATAACCTGTCCTTTTAAGTTGACTTCTATAAAATTTCCAAATATGTAGCAATTGAATTTGTCGTATGGCATTCTGATCTTGAAAGCATTTCCTAATTTCACAGAAATTTCTACCATCAGTTATAACTGTTGAAAACCATCCCCCTTCAGCCTGTATCCTTGAGTCTCTTTCTTTGATCTCTTGAGCGAATCCCTTTTGTACAGTCATTCACCAGCTTCTCTGTAAGATCTGGTCACTTCTGCTTCTTAACAGCCCCTGAGACTTTTCTTTGGGCCAGAGGTCCTCTGAATTTTCTAGAGCAGACATTTGAATATGTATTTTGGTTGCATGCATTTTCACTTTCATGGAATGTTCTGCTTTCTTATGTCTGCACTCAACTGAGTAGTGGAAAGAACTTCTGGCTTTTTTGTTCCTTCAAAGGGGTCGTAGTCTAGTTGCTCCATGTTAACTCTTTGTCCTGCAACAAGCTGATGAAATGTCTATTCCAAAATAAACATAGGCCGATCCTTAAGGACTGACTTGCTTACCATCCTTATAAAGGGACCTCTGCTAAGGATAAGCAAAGTAGAAAAAATAAAGTATGTCATGGCAACTCTGAAAAAAAGTTATTCAACATTAGAAATGGACCAAAGTTGTATGAGCTTAGAGAAAAATTACTGCTATGAAACAAGAGAATTCTAGAAGTTGAAATTTTCTTTTTCTCCTTAATGGGATTCAAGTAGATTTTACTTTTTTAAAACAGATTAAAAAAATAGATTTGGATGAAAGGAGATCGCATGCAAAAGAACAAACAAATCAAGCCGAAACACACTGATTAAATACACTTTACAAACTAGTTAAATTAGCAATATATCGGGTAGAATAGAGAAATATACCCGGAATTCAGAAAAGGAGAATAGATGCTGGCGGTCTAGCTTATAAATAATAGATATTCTTGGACAAAAAGAGCTAATGGATGGAATCAGTAAACATATTGGGCACTGAAAATCTTCACGAACTTGAAGGTGTAAGCCCGGTCACACGTTGTCATTAGGGTATGAGAGTAGGACCTAGTTGTGAATGTTTACAAGAGTCAAGATCACTTAGACAGTTTAATCTTCCTGGGAACAGTTACCCTACCGTTCATCGTGGTATCCGTAGTGTTTAGCACATGGCGACATTGAATAAACCCTTAGTGGATCAATAATAATAATACCTCAGTTAAGAGGAAAGTAGAAAATACAGTGAGAAAAATGGGGGAAAACAACAAACACAGAGTAGAAAACCTGAGCAGTGCAGGCAAAGCTGTGCTATCCAAGATAAGTTCAGAGCTTACTGGGGCACCTTGGGTGGCTCAGTGGGTTCAGCATCCGACTTCAGCTCAAGTCATGATCTCGTGGTTCGTGGGTTCGAGCCCTGCGTTGGGCCTTGTGCTGACAGCTCAGAGTCTGCAGCCTGCCTCAGATTCTGTCTCTCTCTCTCTCTCTCTGCCCCTCCTCTGCTCACGCTCTGTCTCTCTTTCTCTTTCAAAAATAAACATTAAAAAAAAAATTCAGAGCGTTAGTGCTTGTGTTACAGTGAATGAAGAATGAATGAATTAAGCCTTTAGTATGAAGTACAAACAAAAAGAATACTCTTGACTAATTCAGTTTATGCATGTAGATAACAGGAATGTGAACATTAGCAGCTAGTAGTTAATACTGTAAAATCACGAATTTTCAAATGGCCTTCTTCAGTGCTAGGACACTGTAGCCATGTTCCAGGGACACTAAGCAGGTGAGGCTGTCCCCTCTAGTCTCACTTCAGCCACAACTGCTCTGTGTCTCTAGCTTATATTTTGGGATTCCACATATACTTCATTTAACAAATATTGTGCTGCTTATATTTTTAAACTGCCAGATTTTTATTTATTTATTTAAAAAAAATTTTTTTTTTTTTAGTGTTTATTTATTCTGGAGACAGAGACAGAATGTGAACAGGGATGGGGCAAAGAGAGAGGGAGACACAGAATCTGAAACAGGCTCCAGGCTCTGCACTGTCAGCACAGAGCCCGACGCGGGGCTCGAACCCATGAACCGTGAGATCATGACCTGAGCTGAAGTCGGACGCTTAACCGACTGAGCCACCCAGGCGCCCCTAAACTGCCAGATTTAAAAACCAGCCTAATGTAGCTAAATTGAGCTCATTGATGCAGTTCTTGTGAGTACAGATGTGCGTGACACAGTGTTTACTGGGCCCTCACAACTGCTCTTTTGGTTGATCTAGTCATCACCTTTCTGATTTCTCAAACCTGATACTCTAAACTTGTTACTGTCTAGGCTCACACTGTTAAAACATCATAATTTCAGTGGCTTAACATAATATGTGTTTATTTCTCAGCCACTTTGATGGTCCACTGAATAGGGAGCATTTGCTTCACACAGTCATTTAGGGAAGCTTCTTTCTTAGGGCTTCACCTCCGTCAGCATCTCTGGAATCCTTTTTTTTATTAAAAGGATTATTTTTTAATGTGTATTTTAGAGAGAGAGTGCGCACAAGTAGGGGACAGGCAGGGAGAGAGGGAGACACAGAATCTGAAGCAGGCTCCAGGCTCTGAGCTGTCAGCACAGAGCCCCATGCAGGGCTTGAACCCACGACCCATGAGATCATGCCCTGAGCCTAAGTTGGAAGCTAAACCACCTGAGCCCCCAGGTGCCCCTGGAATTCTCTTGATTACGCTGATGGAGACGCTATTGGGGAGCAGAGGGAGAGCATGCTTCCTCACCACTGCTGCTCACCCCCGATTGGAAAAGACTGCTTATGTGGCCCACAAATTAGAGGGTAGTTTGCAGTAAGAGCAAAACACGTGTTTAAAAATAGCTTTATATGGTGTGGCTTTATTTTGCTGAAATGTAAAATTTCATTTAAAAAATTTTTTTAATGTTTATTCATTTTTGAGAGAGACAGAGCATGAGTAGGGTAGGAGCAGAGAGAGAGGGAGACAAAATCCGAAGCAGGCTCCAGGCTCCGAGCTGTCAGCACAGAGCCCAACGCGGGGCTCGAACTCTTGAACCATGAGATGTGACCTGAGCCAAAGTCAGATGCTCAACCAACTGAGCCACCCAGGTGCCCCTAAAATTTCACTTAAATACTTAAATATAATTTACAAATGTTTAAGTATGTGGAAGAAAACAACATAGCATTTTAAATATAAACCTGATACAAAACTCCTAGTTTAATGTGTAATTTTTATCCATTAGGAGGAGACATTTGATCATCATCAGTAAACTGATAAAGATTAGGCAGAGACAAATTAGCTGAAAGAGGCCTTCTGGGAGAATGAAGCTGAAGGGCTTTTTTTCTTATTGGACACAGGACAGAGAAGAAGCCATCTAGAGGCAGACTTTCCCCTTAATGAAATATTTAGGCATTTAGAAGCCTTGTCCTCTCTCTCTGCCCCTCCCCCGTTCATGCTCTGTCTCTCTCTGTCCCAAAAATAAATAAAAAACGTTGAAAAAAAAAAATTTTAGAAGCCTTGAGCGTGTTATAATACGAGCAGAAAAGATCCTAACTTGAACCTAATTAGGGTAAATATCCAAAATGTTGGGCGTCTGAAGAAGGTACAGTTGAATACAGTGGCCATCCTTTGTCCTGAACTGTGCTGTTGCCTTGAAGCTGGCCACACAGGAGGTGGAACCAGGCTCTTGCTGAGGAACCGCATGGGAACTCTTCCGTCCGGGGCAGTCTTTCTTGCCTGAGGCACAGGAAACTGATATTGTGCCTGTATATGAATGTGAACATCTGTGTGTTTGGGGTGGGGAGTGGGACATGAGTTCAAGATACATTTGAAATGTTGATCAGATTAAAGGGACTCGTTTCTTAACAGAAGTTCCTTTTTGCAGAAAGATCGAAAACCACTGTAGTCTTGACTTTCGTGGTAGCCTTAGAAAATAGAGGAGACATTAAAATAATTAAATAACTTCCCTTTAGATTAGCAATAACCAGTTAGCAAGTATAATAAAGGATCCTAGCTTCACAAGCAATGAAAACCATGACAATGTCTATCTGAGAATACACGTAAGAAGAAATGCACAGGACCTCAGTGTAGAAAACTGTAAAACTTTATTGTAGGATATAAAAGAACCCTAACGGGAGAAATATCTTGTTATTCAGACGGTAAAATTTAATATTATAAAGATGGGAATTCCTCTCAAGTTAATCTGTAGGTGTAATGCGGTTCAAGGTGGGGTTTTGAGGGAAATTAGATGAATTGAAAAGTTCCCCTAGAAGTAGAAATGCTCGAGAGTAGCAATTTCAGTACAAAACACACTCCTGTTTGTAAAGTAGCCGTCATTTAACTATTACAGGACTGACACGGGAGTAGATAACACAGTGAAGCCAGAGGAGAGAAGCAGACCCATTGATCCAAGAAATACAGGGACGGAATAGAAACGGTGGGAGAATAGATCCGTGGGGAAAGCCCTTCTCGATTATTAAGTAAATGGTGTTGAGACAAAAGAAGGGTAACTGCTTTCCTTCTGTGTAGGTAAAGAACTTGTAGACGGAAGTAAGCGCAAACTTGTGTGGCAGAAATGTAATGAGTTCTGATTGGAGTATGTTGACTTTTGAAGGGGTAGCTGAGTGCATCCACCAAAAGAGATGCACAGGACATAATTTTCCATTCAAATTAAGGCTGTGTTTTAGAGCTAACCACGTGGTATCAGATGCTCAGCAGACGTTTCATTACTGCTTACTCCTGTGTGTCCGTTCAGCTACGATTTATGGAGCACACGCTCTACCTTTTGCGAGGTGCTCAGTACTTTTGTAAGTGACAGTCCTGTCCAGCATAAGGGA